CTTTATGTCGTATTAAGTGGGATTGAATCTCTGCGTTCTGTTAGAGCTGCTGGAAAGTCTTCAGCTCTATTGCTGCTAGATCTGTCAGCTGTCTTTGACACGGTTAACCACCACATCCTCCTCTCCACACTCACTGAGCTGGACATCTCAGGATCTGCCCTCTGCTGGTTTGTGTCTTACTTCTCAGGAAGATACTTCAGAGTATCCTGGAGGGGAGAAGTGTCTGAACCGTACAACCTATCCACAGGGGTTCCTCAAGGGTGTTGTGCTGTTCAGATCGCTTCACTGGCTTCCAGTTGCTGCCCACATCAAATTCAGAACCCCGACACTTGCTTACAAAACCACAACGAGAACAGCTCCCTCCTACCTGATATCTCTCATTCAGATCTACACTCCCTCCTGCTCACTACGCTCTACCAACAAAAGCCGCCTGATCCAACCACCACAACAGAGCCGAGGTCGATAGCGAGACTCTTCTCCTCTGTGGTTCCCCGGTGGTGGAACGAGTTACCAAACTCTTACCTTAACTCTTAAGAAAAGACTAAAGACCGACCAGCTCTTCACTGAACACCTTTGCACTTGACAGCCCGAAAACAAACAAACAAAAAATTTTATAAAATCCTATGACCTCCCTACAGCCTGCTGTTGTCATCAACACATTATCACACTTGAATTTGTTCTATGGCTCTTCTCTAGATTGTTTTCTCCTGACTAGATCCTTGCTTGTGTTGCATCTGCTCTCAGATGTACGTCACTCTGGATAAAAGCGTCTGCTAAATGAAATTGTAGAATTGTTGATAACATTTTAATGAAATCTGCATCAGATCTAACAGGATGTGAGAGTTTCTGTGACGCCTGTACAGACTAAAGGCTAATGGAAACTTTCTTGCCTGCAGCTTTGTGTCTATACCACTGCCTCACATCAACTTTCCTGTTGATCTCAAACAAACCGCACATCACGCCGACCATCAGCTTCATGGTGACGACAGTGACGGTCTTACCTGCAGCACCAGGGCCTCTCCAGGTGTGGCGCTGTGGCAGTGGATGACGGCAGCCAGGGTGCTGGTGAGGTTGTAGCTGCTGTGGAGAATCTCCCGACTGTGATCGTCGCTGGCTGCAGGAGGGCAAAAATACAAAGAGTATGGTTTAGAAAGCGATTGCAGGTCAGTTTCCTTCCTCAAGATTCACACAAGCCTGGGATTAAATCCTGCTCATGCTGCTTTCTGCTTTCACACCGTCCTGTCCTTATGAAAGGCTGCTATAATGTATTCTACGCAAGTATTCTACGAGCTCCGTTTTATTGTTAGCAGCAGAATAACAGTTATCTTGGTGGCTGTGACGGATCCTGTTTGTGTACATGAGAAACTTATTCAGTAGGACCTACTACACAGTACCTTAAACGCAGCAGCCAAAATTGTGTGATTCTGCGTGAAACAATAGCGATCCTTTGATGAAAGCTGCAGTATGTGCTTAAAGTAAAAAGGAGAAGGATGTGATTTGGAAGCAGCCGTATTTTGTGCAGTGAGGACGTGGAAACAGGTGAACTCTACCTAGTTGTGCCAGCAGGGAGACGATGGAGCTGGTCAGGGCGGGGCTGGTGTTTGGGTTTCCAGCCAGCTCCACCAGCCCACTCACACACTCACTGGGCAGAACCTGACCTGAGGACAGCAGCTGGTCACATTTTAGGCCCGAAACCTCCTGCAAACACACAAAAAGCATATACTGGACATTCAGACTGCAGGGATTGTCGTTACAAAGATATAAGCTAAAATAGGAGTGTTATGCACAACTTTCGGGCAACATTTCGGCCTGTAATCACAAACCTGAAGTTACGGTTTTATTAGGTTCACTGACCTGTGTATTGTTACTGCTGCAACTGTCAGGTGAGTGTACATAATTACACTAGCAGCAACTTTTTTTTGTATTTTTTTGCACAAGGATTGAGGCAAGTTTATAGTTCTATTTATTTGCATAGTCTCATCAGCTGTTTTTAAGTTAATAAACGTGTTTTAATTGTAATTCTTATTCTATTTCTATTTTATTTTTAACTTAGGTAACTGTAGGTGTACATAGAGAGAGAGAATATTATACTTTGCTTTGAAAACTGTTAAGATTTTTATTTTTTTTTTAATTGCTAGAAAATATAATCAACTCACAAACAAAACATTTCCCTTCCGAGGAGCACCGTGCCAGTTTTAAGACACAAAAACAGAGGAAATTT